ACACGCGAGTCGGAATGGAAGCTTGTTTTAATGTTCGAAATTGCAGACGTGATGACGTTCACGATCACAATGAGGGTCAGAGGTAGCCTTCTCTATCCTTGATGAAAAAACACAAGTATATTCCTACACCCCCCAATAATTTTTCTTATTGAATTAGAATATAATGATGAAATGAACAGATGTTTCACTGGATCAACACAGGGGACTATCAAATCTGTGAACCTGCAGAAAATTACCATACCTACGGAGCCCTATACCTGAGCTCGATCGTGTATTCTCTTTTTACTTCTGGCCCTTTCAGCTTGCTAACTTCATATATATTTACCGTTGTCATCTTTCTAGCCGGTCTATTTAACTTCAGCCGCCTGTCTACTATTATCAGGTAATGATCGTGACGGCTCCTCTATTCTCTTAGGCCCTTACCTTGCTTAACGATGACCAACTAATGTACTTCTTTTCACGGCAAAGCGACCTATCAGATGGCTATTCTTATCTATTCTGCAAATATGTTGTAGACATTATCGCAAGGACGTTCGCTGTGCAAAACATCACAAACCTCTCTCCTTCGTCACTGCGACCACTCTGAAGGCCATGCCGGCCTACTAGTTCTTTGCTGATTTCCTTTTTTTCTCAAAAAAAGGTCCGTTTGTGTCACCCACGACCATCTCCATTTTTCGGCGAGAAATTCCTGCCAGAATTCCCTGTAACGCTTCAGAAAACTCGTCTTTCTCATTGTCCGCTGCCTCCTTCGTCCGTGCATAATGGAATAACGCCTAGTCTGGATGATGCTGGACTTGATGGGAATAGAGTAAAACCTTGCTTTCCGATATTCGCAGACTTTTAGCCCCCTACGACCCGCTGCCGCTGCCACCGTCACCGCGTACCTTGCAGTGTGTCGTGCTGATAGGAATGCCCAAGTTGGAGGCAATAAGCACCGTGAGAGTACAGTACACACAGTACAGACAGTACACCCTGACCCCAACCACCTAACCTCAGTTACTCCCTACGACAGACAGTGCACCATGCCCACAACCACATAACCTCAGTTACTCCCTACGACAGACAGTACACCCTGACCCCAACCATCTAACCTCAGTTACTCCCTACGACAGACAGTACACCCTGACCCCAACCACCTAACCTCAGTTACTCCCTACGACAGACAGTACACCCTGACCCCAACCACCTAACCTCAGTTACTCCCTACGACAGACAGTACACCCTGACCCCAACCACCTCACCTCAGTTACTCCCTACGACAGACAGTACACCCTGACCCCAACCACCTCACCTCAAATTAATACCTTTATAAGTGTATAGTTAACTCATTCTCATTCATTCACATGTAATCAGCAATAAGTCAAATTAATGTGCAAATAATTGATACTTGTAAGACTGCCATATACGATAGTCACCTAAACTTACTCAAGTCAGGGTATTAATTCTTCATTATTTTCCATTCTTGCTTACACGTTTTTAAAATAAACAATCGTTTCCCTAACTTACTCACGAAAAAAGCTATAGAGCTAGTTAGGAGCCGTTGTAATATACACCGTACCGAATCAGTTAATATTACACTGATTTCTGTTTCTTTCCAGCCATCCCTGCCATCTGCTTTGAACCGCAACATTTGCCCTGCATCATTCTTTTCTCCTTTCCATGTGACTATGGCGGGGCGACTTCTCAATAGCATTTATGATCTTTCTCTCTGAATCAAGCGTGTGCTGCTCTTGCCGCCTTTTGTTACACCACGAGCTGCAGCATATAACGTGTTTCGGTTATCACGTCTGCATGTAAAGCCACAATTAAAAAAATCTTTGTTTGCCCTCACCCGACCCAGGCTGTAAAGTTTGGGTAGGTAGGTAGGCTTTTTTTATTACAAATTCAGCATGGTGTATACATGCTCGGGTGCTTGTGTGGAGATACCTATGTTGAATGTTTGTTTTGCTTGTACATATAATGTATTGCCTACAGATTATATAATTATGTATAGTGATACAATCTGTAAAAAAAGAATGGGAAAGATCAATAAAAAACTTTGTGTCGGCCCCTTTTTGGCAAGTCGGTCGGGTGAGGGCAAACAAACAATATTTTTATCATGGCCTAATCATGAACGTAGTGTGCATAAAACATGTTCATGAATGTTTGCATGAGTGCATTGCAACTGCATTGCAAACTGATGAATTATGTAATAAAAGATTTGTTACATTCATATGTATTGCTACTATGTTTATTCCCTACCATTTGTATATATGGATTTATAACAACCGGTGTTGTTTTTCTCGATTCGACTTCTGTTTCGATTCTCGAAATCTCAAATTTGACGTGGCCGGAAAAAGTCCAGTGGACACCGGAGACGGGCTGTTACGGAGCTTGGGCCGATCGGCCCCCGAAAAGCAAAGCATGCGGATTGATGCATGAATGTTGTCATTAATACATTCATGATCGTTCCTAGCTCTACCGGTGTAGCCCCTTCGCTCTCTCCTACAGGACCGGTAAAGCTATAGTCGACCTAGCTCTACCGGTGTAGCCCCTTCGCTCTCTGCTACAGGACCGGTAAAGCTATAGTCGACCTAGCTCTCCGTGTAGCCCTTCGCCTCTCTGCTACAGGACTGGTAAAGCTATAGTCGACCTAGCTCTACGGTGTAGCCCCTTCGCTCCCCTACAGATGGCGATCCTGTAGCCGCAGTAGCGATAGACCATGTAGCAGAGAGCGAAGGGGCCTACACCGTAGAGCTAGATCGACTATACCTTTACCGGTCCTGCAGAAGGGGTTACACCGGTAGAACTAGGGTGTCCGCGAGTCTAGTGGCAGTGGTTCTATGCAGTCACGTATGCGCGACGCATTAGAAATTCAGCGACGAAACGCGGCGAATTGGTAGAACAACTTATTACGTCGACCTGCAGTTGAGCTGGTAAAACAGACAAGTAAACACCGCGTTGGTTCGTGTCTCCTGTGTAGCCAGCCATCCTGCACTCGGCACGCAGTGAGGCAACCGGCACACGCGAGTCGGAATGGAAGCTTGTTTTAATGTTCGAAATTGCAGACGTGATGACGTTCACGATCACAATGAGGGTCAGAGGTAGCCTTCTCTATCCTTGATGAAAAAACACAAGTATATTCCTACACCCCCCAATAATTTTTCTTATTGAATTAGAATATAATGATGAAATGAACAGATGTTTCACTGGATCAACACAGGGGACTATCAAATCTGTGAACCTGCAGAAAATTACCATACCTACGGAGCCCTATACCTGAGCTCGATCGTGTATTCTCTTTTACTTCTGGCCCTTTCAGCTTGCTAACTTCATATATATTTTACCGGTTGTCATCTTTCTAGCAGGTCTATTTAACTTCAGCGCCTGTCTACTATTATCAGGTAATGATCGTGACGGCTCCTCTATTCTCTTAGGCCCTTACCTTTGCTTAACGATGACCAACTAATGTACTTCTTTTCAACGGCAAAGCGACCTATCAGATGGCTATTCTTATCTATTCTGCAAATATAGTTGTAGACATTATCGCAAGGACGTTCGCTGGGCAAAACATCACAAACCTCTCTCCTTCGTCACTGCGACCACTCTGAAGGCCATGCCGGCCTACTAGTTCTTGCTGATTTTTCTTTTTTTCTCAAAAAAAGTCCGTTCCTGTCACCCACGACCATCTCCATTTTTCGGCGAGAAATTCCTGCCAGAATTCCCTGTAACGCTTCAGAAAACTCGTCTTTCTCATTGTCCGCTGCCTCCTTCGTCCGTGCATAATGGAATAACGCCTAGTCTGGATGATGCTGGACTTGATGAGAATAGAGTAAAACCTTGCTTTCCGATATTCGCAGACTTTCAGCCCCCTACGACCCGCTGCCGCTGAAACCGTCGCCGCGTACCTTGCAGTGTGTCGTGCTGATAGGAATGCCCAAGTTGGAGGCAATAAGCACCGTGAGAGTACAGTACACACAGTACAGACAGTACACCCTGACCCCAACCACCTAACCTCAGTTACTCCCTACGACAGACAGTGCACCATGCCCACAACCACATAACCTCAGTTACTCCCTACGACAGACAGTACACCCTGACCCAAACCATCTAACCTCAGTTACTCCCTACGACAGACAGTACACCCTAACCCCCAACCACCTAACCTCAGTTACTCCCTACGACAGACGGTGCACCCTGACCCAACCACCTAACCTCAGTTACTCCCTACGACAGACGGTGCACCCTGACCCCAACCACTAACCTCAGTTACTCCCTACGACAGACAGTACACCCTGACCCCAACCACCTAACCTCAGTTACTCCCTACGACAGACAGTACACCCTAACCCCCCCACCACCTAACCTCAGTTACTCCCTACGACAGACGGTACACCCTGACCCCCAACCACCTAACCTCAGTTACTCCCTACGACAGACAGTGCACCCTAACCCCCAACCACCTAACCTCAGTTACTCCCTACGACAGACAGTACACCCTAACCCCCCAACCACCTAACCTCAGTTACTCCCTACGACAGACAGTACACCCTGACCCTAACCACATAACCTCAGTTACTCCCTACGACAGACAGTGCACCCTGACCCCAACCACCTAACCTCAGTTACTCCCTACGACAGAGAGTACACCCTAACCCCCCAACCACCTAACCTCAGTTACTCCCTACGACAGACAGTACACCCTGACCCCCCCCCCACCCCCAACCACAATAACCTCAGTTACTCCCTACGACAGACAGTGCACCCTGACCCCCAACCACCTAACCTCAGTTACTCCTAGACAGACATACACCCCTGACCCCCAACCACATAACCTCAGTTACTCCCTACGACAGACAGTACACCCTGACCCCCCCCCCACCCCAACCACATAACCTCAGTTACTCCCTACTACAGACAGTACACCCTGACCCCACCACCTAACCTCAGTTACTCCCTACTACAGACAGTGCATCCTGATCCCAACCCCCTCAAGTCACCCTAACCACCAACCCGCGTACCTTGCAGTGCGTTGTGCTGATGGGAATGCCGAGATTCGACGCGATGAGCACCGTCAGCGCGGAGCCGAGCTCGATGCAGAATCCGCTCGTCGGCGAGATCGGCGTCAGGTCCTCGCCCATCGTCTTGATGACGCGCCGGCCCCACAGCCACAGCCCGATGCAGATGCCGCAGCCTCCGTACAGCAAGATCCAGATCGGCGTCGCTGTCTTCTGGATGACGTGGCCCTCCCAGTAGATGAGCCAGATGGCGACGAGCGGGCCAATGGCGTTGCTGTGCGCGAAACGACAATGGAAAGGTTGGAGCACGAGCGGACGACTCGCTGATACAAAAAACAAACGAACGAGCGGACAAATGGCGTTGCTGCGGCGACGAAACGACAATGGAAAGGTTGGAGCACGAGCGCACGACTCGCTGATACAAAAAACGAACGAACGAGCGGACAAATGGCGTTGCTGCGGCGACGAAAAACGACAATGGAAAGGTGGAGCACGAGCGCACGACTCGCTGATACAAAAAACGAACGAACGAGCGGACAAATGGCGTTGCTGCGGCGACGAAACGACAATGGAAAGGTTGGAGCACGAGCGCACGACTCGCTGATACAAAAAACGAACGGACGAGCAGACCGATGGTGTTGCTGCGGCGACGAAACGACAATGGAAAGGTTGGAGCACGAGCGCACGACTCGCTGATACAAAAAACTCGAATGCGAATCGAAAATACAGAAAATGATCACGAACTGCATGAACTTCGGAGGATCACAGAGGACGATAAAAAAACAAACTCGTCTGTGAAAAAGTTGAAGCACGAAAGGAGACGGTTACAAATACAACTCAAAAACGAGCGGACCGACGGCGTTACTGCGGCAAGGGACAAGGAGAATAATGATATTAAGGATACGGTCAATCATTTAGGGGAAATTTTACCAATTTATCAAGACGAAAAAGGCTGGAGCGCGAGCAAGGCACTCACCGATGCAAAAACTCACAAAACTATAAAAAATAACGATACAAAAATAATCATTAACTTTATAATGACCGATGGCATTCTGCGAACGAGAAGGGAGGGGGGTGAAAATGTTGGAGCATGAACGCACGACTCACTGATACAAAAAAACGAATCAAAAATATGAATTTTGAATGATATGAATCAAAAACACAAGAAAATGATCAAGAAGTTCATGACATGAATCATTACGATAGTTCGTACTCTTGAAGCTCATGAACTTCAGAGAATTATGCTCGCCGAAAAAAAACTTCAGAGAATTAGCTAGGGGACCGAGAGAGGTGGGGAAACGTGCCGGTGCACGAGCGCTTGGTATAGCCTGCATTGTATGTGTGGGATGTTATGTGGCTCGTTCAAAAGGGTATACGTTGGAGATCATGGTTCATACAGGAGGACTGAAATTTTTTCCAAGGACTTTTCAAGGCATTTTATCGGAAATTCAAAGACATTTTATCGCGAATTCATACACAGAACAAAACATACCTGGATTAATTTAATAACCCATTCTTAATCACTGCATGTAACCTCTAAAACTTACCTGGATCACATTAATAAACCCTTCTAAACACTGTCACTTCTACAACATACCTTGATTTATGACTGATTTTACTGACTTACTGTAATTTGTGATCATCTTAACTGTCTATCGTGTCTATAGCTTTTTAAGCTCATTTAACGCAATTTTATTTGAGGTTTGCACATTATTGATTAGCGTACAAATTTCTTTTTATTACAGGCAAGATTCTTTCTAAAAATTCAAGGACATTTTCATGAAATTCAAGCACTTTTCAAGCACAAAATCAACATTTACTAAATTCAAGTACTTTTCAAGGACTCCCCTCAAATTCAAGGACTTTGCAAGGACTGTGCGAACCATGGAGATATCGTCCCGCCAGAGAGTAATTAGTTAACGATCGGCGTGCCGTCTTTTTCGAGCGGACTGCTTCCCTACGAGACGGGCAATTTTTCTGTCGATACTTAACGTCGCTTCTTTCATTGAAGCCCTCCCTGACTGAAACCCTTTAGGATTCTACTACCCAGTCCAGCCCCCCAACATCTTTGGACGATTTTCAGCCCAACCTCAACCTTACTAGAGGATGCCGGCTGTCGCCCGCCCGCCGAAATCCGACGAGAATATCAACCCTGCTCGAGACTCACCTGACATCGTTACCGCCGTGCGCAAACGAGCCGAAAGTAGCCGTCAGTATCTGCAGGAAGGTGAATAATTTGCTGGCTTCCGCGGCTCCGTATTGCTCGCCTCACTGGCGGCGCTCTTTTTGACTTTGCCTGCAATTTACACGCGACAATTAAACGCGGAAAACTTATAAAACGTAAAGTTTGGTGACTCCCTTTTCGACTTTGCCTGCAATTTACACGCGATAATTAAACATGGAAAATTGTAAAACGTTAAAAGTGTCACCAGAATCTGCAAGAAGGAGAATAATGTGCTGGTTTCTGGCGGCTCCCCGTTTTCGACTTCGCCTATAATTTACACACATTAAAACGAATTAAAACATATAAAATTATTAAACATATCAGTTACATCAGAATCTGTGCAAGAAGCTGAATAGTCTGCTGGCTTCTGGGGCCTCCACTATTCGTTCTCGCTGGCTGCTCCCCTTTTGACTCCACCTGTAATTTACACATATTAAAATAATTAAACATAAAATTATAAAACATTGAAGTTGACGTCAGAACCTGCAAGAAGGAGAAATAATGTGTTGGTTTTACTATTTCCTCCTTCACTGGCTGCTCCTTAAAGGCATAATAGGCCCATTGATTATACAAAGTTGACGAATGCTACAGTAACGGACCTTCTGTAGTTAATAAGTACATTACCTTATAGTCAGACGCGTATTAGTTTGTCCAATATCACTGCTAATTACTAAGAAATGTCTAATTGAAAATCCGTAATCTGGTAATCTGGCGCCAACGCTAAATTGGTTGCCAAGCAAATAGCCTCGAATTCGGTTAGGCAACGTCACATGTTGCTACGGTGTGTTTAGCAGAGAATTGTTTGTCCCGGGATGCTTATATACGACTAATGAGCTAGTAGAATGTATCTTCTGGGTGTATTCTAGGTATTGAGGCACAAGTAAATCGTGGGTGCTAATGAACAGGTACCCACATGTCTTCAATTTCAGACACAGATGTATTCGTTTGACCAATATACCTAAATATGCGTAGTGCCGTCTGCTTTCCATGTTTAGTCTGTGGCCGTGGTTAGTACGCAATCCTCCATAGCGTTGGCCCCCAAACAGCCTACTTCATTATCACGAGCGTCTGTGATTCGTACGTGGATTCCACATTCATTACAATCAGAGCTACTGTTACGTATACAGTTACGACGTACTGTACTATCACTAGCATTGCGTACGGCCGAGCGAAAATGCATGCGTGCGTGCGTTTTGCATGCGTGCGAAAATGTCCGGTGGACTATAAATCTGTATCACACCCGTTCGAGTATGCGCGTTTCGAAACTGTAAACCAAGTCACCGTCA